CTCTCTCTCTCTCTCTCTCTCTCTCTCTCTCTCTCTCTCTCTCTCTCCATGATTTTTCTGTCGGGACCTGCTTCAGTTCTAAAGAATCCAAACCATAAAGTCCCCCCTTTTTGAAGAAATGGATATTGATCGACCAGCAAACGTGACTTTCCTCGATTTTGTCGGAGGGATCCAACTTCTCCAGGGAGAGGACACCAGGACCGCCATGCCCGTCCTCCTGATCGGGATCTGCGTGTCCGGAGCCGTGGGGAACTTGTTGGTTCTGCTGATTTTCGTCCGCGACTTCCGGACCGGCCGGGGCTCGGAGGTGAAAGCGCTGCTCGCCTCCCTGGCCTCCGCGGACTTGGCGATCCTGCTGCTGTGCGCCCCCGTGCGCGCCGTCACCTACTACAAGCAGACCTGGACCATGGGGGGGTTTGTGTGCCGCACCGCGGACTGGTTCCAGCACTCCTGCGTGGTGGCGAAAACTTTAATCCTGGCGACGACCACCCGGGCCAGGCACACCCTGGTCCCCTCGCGCCCCGCGTCCAGCCCGACGTGGATCCACGGAGCCCTGGCGTTCATCTGGATCGTGTCCATGATGTTCCCGATCCCGCAGCTGCTCTTCGCCGCCTTGTTGCCGCGCGGCACCGATGAAGTCTGCGTCTCGGAGATGCCCGTGTGCGCCTCGGACTTCATGAGCCTGTTCTACAAGATTTACCCCACGACTGCGTTCGTGGCGCCGGTCGTCCTGACCGTCGCCTTCTACACCAAGACCCTGTACACCGCGGTGAACCACGCGCCCGGCCCGCAGCACCAGAGCAAGGTGGTCCTGGTTTTACTGTGCCAAAGCGGCGCCCTGGGGCTCATGCTGCTGCCGGACTGGGGGACTTTCACCTGGATCCGACTCGGCTACCCCAAACCTCCCGCGGGCCTGGTGATGTTCGCGCAGGTGCTCCTTTACGCGTGCAGCGCCCTGTCTCCGGTCATCCTCATGACCATGTACGACGACGTGCGCCASGGACTGGTCTCCATGTGGCTCGCGGTCACCTGCAGGGGCCAGAAGCCCCCCCGGAAGTGCCCGCAGGCCGAAGGGAACGGCGCGGAGGTGGCTGCCAACGACGTGGCCAACGCGCTCTCGCGGGAGAACGACAAAACCTTCCCGGACGTGGAGCACTTCTGGACGGGGCGCAGGAAYACGCGCGTGGAGGACGAGGAGGATCCAGTTCCGTGGGAGAAGGAGGAGAAGATGCTGTAACGTAGCCGGATGTCTGAGTGTAATATTTTTTATTCTTTATTAGCAGAAGACTCCAGCTGTGTGTTGACCCACTCTGTTGCCTGTTTGCTTCGAAATAAACTTCGTGTTTAATGTTTCTAAACTTCTGTTGTGAATATTTGTGCACTCTAAAAATGAAATGTTGGATTTACTTAAGCATGTTATGTGACCTGGTTCCACTTAACTGAGTTGAGTAAATTCAAAGCGTTGCTTTGAATTTACTCAACTCAGTTAAGTGGAACCAGGTCACATAACATGGTTAAGTAAATCCAACATTTAATTTTTTACAGTGTATAGGGCATCTGAAGACATTTGTACAAATAAGAAGCTGCTGTAAATATGGACTCTTCAGTTGTGATTTTTTTGTTGGTGTGGTGCAAAATGTGAATATTAAAAATACTCATAAATATCGCGCGTGTGTTATTTTTTTTGTGCTTTTCATTCACATGTCTCTAACGAATGGAGAAAATCCTGAGATTAAAAACACAGTTCAAACGGGGATAATTTTCCATTTTACAATCATAACTAATCCAGTGTGATCTGGGTCAAGTCAAAAAGCAGCCGTGTGTAAAATGAAATAATAAAAAATAACACATTTTCATTATTTAGCGTGCCTTCTGAGTGTTAAAAAAAATCCCACTAACATTTTATTGTTACTTATTTTTCCCCTAAATGTTGCATTTAAATATTAAATGTTAAATCCTGATTTAAAAATCAAATCTGCAGCTGAGTGATAAAGCTCACATTTAAGAATATTAGAATGGAACACAGCCTTTGCTTTAAAAAATAAAACAACTTTATTAAAAAAGGTCAATACAAGGCAGTTATTTACATACGTTAAAGCAGTGGTTCCCAAACTTTTCAGCTTTTGACCCACAAAATAACAGCAGCAGAGACCTGTGCCCYCAGCTATTTTTGGATGATAAACATTTGTATCAGGTCAACTAAACATGGGCATAGTAACAATATTTTTATACTACATTTATCCATTTTAAATACACTAACCTCACTGTGTTGTTTGTCATAAAGGAGAGGCTTGGACAGCTTGGTATTTTCTGAAAACTTAAGATATTTTTCTTATAAATTTACAAT